CATTACTCTTCTATAGGCCCGATGAAACTCGGTCATCCAAATACTTTTTTTTTTTTTTTTTTTTCTTCAACGCGCTCTAAATATAATTGTTACCAAAGTCTTGCGTGTGTTTTTCGGTGTATACCTATATGCTTACTAAGAGGAAGTTATTGGTATACCTGCAGTGCAAGTAAATTTATAAAAAATGCGATGTTTTGTGAAAAGCAATGAAAAAGTGTTTTTTTTTAATTCAAAGTTTGCAGCCAAACACGTTTGCTCGTACACAAAAAACAGCTCCCAGCCATGCACAAACCAGCTACACTCGCGCGGGAGAGAAAAAAAAGTTGTAGGTGCATATATTGTATCCACGACGCATTCCCTATAGTTCCCCGATGCGCTTACATGCGAGGCGTGACAGAGTACGTAGCGCTCTTCTAACCCACATTTTTCGCTATTCGCGTATATATATATATTACGTACCTATACACACGCGAGAGTATAGTTGGCTCTGTTTTCCCGAAACACGTATACTAAGCGCGGTGAGCAGCTTCTTCCGGTCCGCTGCTGTTTTTCCATCACCGCGACTCTCCCCCCTCGCGGGTGTTGGAGCTTGTACGCGTATAAACCCTAGTCTCGCCGCTTCGGGGGCTTGTTTCGCAAGAGCAAACGGCGCGTTTCGCCGGGAAAATTAATGCCCCGAGAGCAGAAGAAGAAGCAGATATGTACATGCGCGCAGAGGCTTCCCGGTGCCGAGGGAGCGGTGAAAGCACACACGAGAGAGCTTTTTCGCGTTTGACGGACGGATGGTTTCTTCCCCGTGGATATCGGAAAATTGGACTGACGGTGTTTGCTTGCTTTCGCGGGATTCGGTTGTTTTCTCCCACTATATATTCGAACGGACGACGACGAAGGTTCGTTAAAAGCTCTGCTTCGAAGATAAGCTCGTCGTTGAAGCACCGTGTACATATATACACCAGTGAAGGGTACTCGATGGGATTTCGTACGTATATACAGAGAGGCACTATGGAAAAATTGGCTCAACAAGTTAAGGGAGAGAGAGAGAGAGAGAGACGAGACCTCGGCAGTGACTCTCTCGAGGGAAGAATCTCGAAAATCCGCTTAGGAGCGTCCGGAGAATTTTCCGATATAAATAACCTCGCCGGAGCGTCTCGAGTAGTTGCAACGAGCACTGGAGTAAACCCTATTATGTACGCTCTCTTGTGATTCTTGACGCGTTTGTACATACACATTGTATACATAGCTCGAGCGTCTCCCGCCGAGGAAATTGCGCTTATCGGTGCAGGGAGGATTACAACGAAAGCTTTAATCATCGCCAGGTTAATCGAAATACAATGTAATATACGTTGTGGAACGCATCGCGTCGCGGTGGCGCGGATTGTAAATATTGTTTGTTCTTGTCGCGGTGGAGGAAAAAAAGTCCTCCGAGCGAAAGGTTAAAAAAAAAAGGCACACGCGAGGGGTTAAATGTAAGGGCCTCTCTTTTGATGTCTGCAGCATATTAAATCGCGCAAACGCAATCATGAAATCGCTCTCGGCTTAAAAGGCCTTTTGCGCGCGCGTGTACGGCGCGACGACGCGAAATGAAATTTGTAGGAGCGCAGAAAGAAAGAAAAAAAGAGGGAGAACCTCCGAAATTAATGAAACTCGCGCGCTCGCGTCAAACGCTCCTACGGCCAAAGAGCTGGTGCTATGTAAATGTGGAAAAGTGCGAATTGCGAGGAAAAAAACAAAGGAGAAAGAAAAGAGACGATGTGGAAAAAGGGAAGTAATGGCAAGTGGTATATTGAAACCAGCTTCCGGATGATTGGCGGATGGAAGAAGCAAAGGAAAATACGTGTTGTACCTACGTATATGCAACTGCAACGCAATTAGAGCGCTTAAGCGTATCCGACATGTAGGTCGAGTGCACGCGCCGGTGAGCGCGAATGAGTACGGCTTTTCGATGTATACCCAATATAACCACGTGTGTGTGTATACAGGTACCCCACGCAGAAATCCACGCATCCCTCGGATCTCGCCGATTAAACACGCATAAACGTTACACGCAACAGCATCACTCTTTTGTGGTGGAGGTGGAATAACCGAGCAGCTATATATATACATACATTGATTTTTGGCAATCATTTAATTGGCGGTGCAGGAGCGCGCTCGAGTGGACTCTCGATCAAGATACATGTATCGAGTGTTGTAACGCGGTTCACGCGTGCGATCGATGCTTTCGCAAACTAGTGCTGATACTTGTTTTTCCCTCTTTTTTTTTTTTATCTGCAAGCACGTAAAAACTCGGCCGTATCACCGAGAAGCGCAACGTCTTATCGATCGGTATCTTATAGGTGCTTGGTGACTGATAAATAAACAAACAAAACACCCGCGGATGGTCGTAAATCAACGTATTAATATATCTTCGTGGGTGATAAGATGAAATGTAAAAGAAAAAAAGAGGCAAACCCGCTCGCGCGCGAGAGATGGAAAATTCGCGGAGCAAATGTAAGAATTTACAAAGTGCGCACCGCGCAAAACTCTTCTCGCGTTTTCGTGCCGCACGGCAACAGGGAGAGAGGGGAAAAAAAAAAGCCAAACGCGACAGAAATAAAAATCACCTCGTACACATAGGGCCCGTTCGCTTTTACGAGCTGACAATTTCAGCCGGTAGCAATTACAAGAGTAATAACCCGCGCGCATCTGTCCGACCTACAATACGTGCGCGTATGTGGATATACGTTGGATGCTTATACTTTCGCGCTCCGCACGGCTATGTTTTTCACGTGTGCAGCCTTTTTTTTGTTCCTTCCAACGTCACGCAAGAGGACTCGCGACCCCAAAAAACACGCGCAGCCATTCATTGGTACGTGCATTTCGGGCTCTGTATGGTTATTTGCGTCGTCGAGGGAATAGGTACATATTATATGCATGGAAATAGTGGCGTTGGTGTATAGTTATAACCTCGCGCCCACTTGAACTATATTTCCCCGTCTCCGCGCCCACTGGTGCACCACTGCAGATTTAGATGCCAGAGAGAGTATATACGTACGCTGAGCTTTGTCTGGTGCTTTGAATAATTGCTGTTTCATTAAGTTTGGACGCGTGCATGTGTGGCTTTGTAATTTTCGTGTCGCGCGTCTCTTGTTCGTCGTTTTATTTTTTTTTTTTTTTTCTAGGAGAGTTGATGCTCGTTAAGGATAATATATCCCGGCGGATGTGTGATATCAGGTGGAGGCAATGCCCGGGCTGCGCCATGCCACCCTTTTCGTGAGTATATTTATTTTGTTTTTTCAACGCCGCGTCTAGACCGTAGAGGGATTTAATTAATGAAATTCGGCTATTTGCGCCGAACTTTTCTTTCAAACGTCTGTGATGTGAAATTTGTACAGGGCGCGTTTTAATAGCAACATTTTTTATTCAAGCCCGTTTGAAACCATCCCTTATTTATCGAAATAGTAATATTTAACGTACAATCAGGCAGGGCTGAACAAAGTTATATCAATATTTGAAACCAAGGAAATACCGATTCATTTCATTGCAGATAATAAATTTTTAATACAATTTATAATATGCTTATTTGTTTGCAGGTAAAACGTACGCGTACTCTGTAAAGGTTAATCAGTAAAAGTTGTATCACTAATTTTCTATTAACATTAGTTCTGGTGAATCGTAATCCGGTAATCTATAGTTAGAGCCACTAATTTACAATGAGAAATGAGAAGCGTATAGTGCGCTGACAAGTTAATGACTGGACAGTGAAGAAAATTCATTCATTCATTACAGCAGTGGCCTAATTCCAACTGTTGAGACGATGAAGATTTATTAATTCGGATTTAGAAAGTGGGCTCCAAGTAATTTCATTACAAATTATTCGTCCCAGATGCTAAATCCATCAAAAAGTTAACATGTGCACGTATAATTTTATTACCATACCAAAGATTTTTTTATCTCGTAGTTCATCCACCTGACATCAGTTAAATTAGTTAAGTACAAATGTTGAGACGAAATATCGTTATCGAAAATTATGTTTGCATTCAAACTGTAGTAAAAAATTTCGTCAACTGGTCAACTCGTATAATTTTTCAGATAACGTAATATTGTTCATTCATCTTATTTACTAAAATTAACTTAGCACTGCATTATAGTTGTAAAATAATTAATTGTTTTACCATTTTTTTTTTTTGCGTGCACAAAGAAAAATAAAAATGGATAAAAATTATAAAAACGATGCTAGTGCTGTAAACTAGCGGTACATTGTCGTCTAGGGGCTTTTTTTGCAACATTTTTTCAACTGCGATGAAAAGTAAATTATTTTTTACTCTGTAAGCAGTAAAATTGATTTCATTGTATACCAATGATAAAAATTCTGAATGTAAAAAGCAGATGGAAAATTAAAAAACTAAATGGTCTCTAGAAGACGGAATGAAATAAGTTAAGAGCGCAACAATAGTAATTTTATAATTTTCTTATTCTCTGTGACTGCACCACACACTCTCATGACATGCATATTCATAAATACATGCATATGTATGTGTCATCGTGTATGATACACATGAAAGAATTTGTTATAAATACTAGACGCACACTACATGTAATATAATGATATTACATAGATGAAAGGTCACAAAGTGTACACGGCGTACCTACGTATAACGTGACTATCGAAACAATTCAATTCTTCTAGAGCACGTCTATGAGAGCGAACGTAGAAAATTTACTTTACGTAAAAAATAAATCAAGAGCTCAAGTACCTGTAGGGATTTAAAATACTCAAAAAAAATATCAGTGCCAAGTAATAGCCCTTCTACCATCATTCTATTTTGCATTGCGCTAACTCTATGCCCAGCTAAATGTTGTGCTATACATTGAAGGCGTTGGAAGTAATAATACAACGAAAAACAGCGTGTGTATTAAACTCAGCAGGTAGAAAAAAATGTAAATCACAAGGTTTACGTCATGTCATGATAAAAATTTATTTTTGACAGATATTTAAATATATTTATATATTTTTGATTAACAATTTTTCAAGTTGTAGCTCATCTTGAGGCGGTAATGGAGCAAATTTTTGCTCTATAAATGCATTTGAAACATCCTTCAAAGCCTTAGGATTCCAAGATGGATTTTGATCCCTATCAATTAACAATGCTCGGACACCTAAAAAAATAATTGTTTATGACTTCGAATGACGTATCAGCTAATAAGCTATGACCAATGAAATGATGAGTACCTTCTACAAAGTCGCATTTTTTCGAAAATAAATTATAGAAGACTCTATATTCCATGATTAAACACTCCGCTAAACTTTTGCTTCTGGCTTCTTCAATTACTTTTTTCGATATTTTTAAAGAAGTAGGGGACATTTTGTTTAGTGTTTTTACAACTTGTGATGCCCACTCAGAGTTACTTGTCTCAAGTCTAAGAAAAAAAAATGAAGTAGCTTTTTTATTTTCATTTTGAGACCAAAAACTATGAAAATTAAAAAAAAACCTTATAACCTATTAATTATTTCTTCAACAGTTGGAGCGGAGAAACAACTATTTATTAAACTCAAGTGGGGTGTTAGACTAAATTCTTGTTTTATATTGCGTGGAGAGTACGGTTGAAGAATTCCATCAATATTAGTATTATTATTAGCTAGTAATTCTTGAGTTACATCCTCCAACTTATCAGAGTGAACGTAATGGGTTGCAAGTCCAGCCAGCAATACGTCGATACCTATTTTTATTTGATTAAAAGTTATAAAAAAAATGTATTCTTGCTCAAAATAATAAATTATTTATACCCTTCAATCTGTGACCAGTCAAGCCTAAGTACATTCCAAGTTGGTCATTCAGTCTGGATAAAAAGTAAGAGCCACCACTGTCTGTAAAACCACCAATAGCTGTTTCTGGCATAGCAAACAATGTTTTTTCAGTTGCTATTCTGTATTTTCCAAGCACTGATATACCAGCCCCTCCTCCCATTGTGATACCATTCATTAGGGCCACATATGGTTTCTTATATGTGCCAATGAGATGACCCAAGCTAAAAAAATCTTGCTTTGCTAAATTCAATATACATTACCAATACTTCGTGGTTAATTAAGTTATTTAACATAATTTAGGTGATTTTACTTTGGTTAGGGTCTTAACGAAGTGTTTTAGGGTTCAAATTTTTATTAATTGTTGTTATAAAAATTTATGTTAAAACTTTTTAATACGACGTTACGTTTTACTGAACTAACCACTAAGCCATCGAAGCTCTTATGGCATGTTAATAGTTAACATCTGTGTGCAGTTAAAATTTAAAAAGTTATAAGAAACATGTAAACTAATTTTCTGTTAACGTACTTGTACGTCGATAGTAAACAAACCCTTCCCTCAGTGCACGAAATATGGATCTACCATTTGGTTTTTTTTGTTTTAATAATGATGATTACATAAATAGTTGAAAGTTACACATTTTAAAATAATAAATTTCATCATTTTTTGACGTCAGAGGTTAAATCAGAAGTTTTATAACATGAGTAACTGTAAATTAAATTTTTGTTCGACTATCAATATTTTAATATTATTGTGTAAATTTTTCTACTCAAAGAACAAAGACAACTGACGAATTTTATAAAATTTAGTGATTAACAAACGCGTATCACATCATTAAAAATATATTTAATAGAGGCTATTAAAATTTACGACTAGCAATAATACTGACGCTACAAGTGTTTGTAATACCTTCCGAAGTATAATCTCCCTACATGTCTAATTTTTTAATATGGACCGAGCATACTTGACTTCGTATAGGTACATAATACGTTGAGCTGATATAAAAACTAGACGTACAGACACGTTATTAAACAAATGGTCAAAAACAATTTAAGATACAATTATGGTACACTTGGTTTTAAATGCTATAACTTATTCGATGATGTCAGTAAGTAGCGACTGGCAAATCATACAAAGTTAGAGTGTTAAAGTTAGCTCATATGAAAAAAAGGGTAAGTAGGGTAAGCCCGTCCCCATGTTTTTTAAATAAAGCCTCCCCCCCTTTTCTAGGGCTTCTGTTCGTAATTAATAGAACCACCTTAAATTAAATTAAAAAAATGAAAATAGATGAACGTTACAGTTATTATTTATACATACATAATAATATTCTTGGGAAGTTCTTTTTCCCACTGTTCACCATATGGTTGTTCCAAAGCCAAAATTGTAGCCTTGATATCACCTCCAGCACTAAATGCTACATCTCCACTTCCCTTTATTATTACTGTATTTTTCGTTGATTCCCATTCTTTTAATTTTGCATGAATTTGTTGTACCATCGACACATTTAAGGCATTCAATAGCTTAGGTCTGTTTAATGTAATGATACCACTGCTTCCTACCTATTTTTATCGACCAATTAATTATAAGATTTGGTATACAACAGGTATTGAAAAGTTAATATTTCATTACAAAAGTAAAACTTACTTCTTTGAACAGTACATTATTCTGATCGACTCCAACAGCTGTTTTAATGAAAAAATTAATTTATTAGTATCATTAAGCTAATCAGATTATTTAAAGAACCATACAGTTTTTATATATTTTTTTTTCACACGTTTTATTATTTTTAATATTTTTAATAAGCGACTAATTAATGTACGTATATGCATTTTACATGTGCACATGCGTGCATGCACCCTTTTTTTTTTTAGAAGGTGGCTAATCACGGTAGTGCCAAATCAAGGTGGGATTCTACGAGACGAGGGTGGAGTGGAAGTTGTTTAATTGAATGTTAATGCTATAAAAAGCAAGAAATTCCTTATCCTTCAATATGTTGTCATACTTACGCAAAAGAAAAAATAGAAAAAAAATATGTTAACACCAAAATAATTTTTTCAAATTAAGTAAATTGTACTCCAAAGCTATTACTGAAAAAAAGCTCTGGTCATATGAGTAGGGAAAACCTATGTGTAACTCATTCGAGCCTACTATTGTGGAACTGCAACCTACGATCTACGATTAGTAGAACTCGACACGGACGCGAATAGTTGATGCTAGTAAAATTTTACTGAAAGTGCAATCGCTGCTCGTTCATACGGCAGACATTTAACCTCGCATTTAACTATTGCTGACTGCATGGTCCCGTAAGAGTCCATCTTAATGGTGAACGTTTAAGTGACCCGTTTGATAAAATTTGCCCGACAATCTATGAAAGGTTTAAAATTTCAAGTGAATATTTGTATTATCTTCAATGAAAACAACCTCTACACGTTTTATTCAGCCTCGATGTAATTGGCTTTCGTGATGAGCCACCTTCATCATTAGCCACGTGATATCCTTCATGAATTATTTAAAGTTAAATGTTTATGCCTTTACCTGAATGGCTATGCCTCAAAAAGATCATTCTGGATAAACGGCCAGTAGACAATCTGCTGGTACACAACATTTCTATATGCCGTTTTAAATTGAGAGTTGTGATGATAAAAATGCGTATTTGCGTGTTTAATACTAACACGATAACTTTACACACTTTTCGGCTATTCAATCACCAAACTTTAGTAGTACTTGACTGTACACAACAAATGTTTGCTACCAGTGAAGTCGAGCTGTTAATATTAATAATTAGTGTAGATCGAAGTGTAGGTTTTGGGGTATAGTATGTCACTACCGGATTTTTCCATTGTCTGACACTTATAAACGATAACTCTACTGTTTAACTGATAAAGCTGGAGTAACTGCTTATATGAGAAAATCCACAAAAAATATTCAACTTTTACACCCTATTTTAATTAAAAAATTATTTTTGAGGCACACCGTCGAGATAGGGCTCGTAATTTACTCGTAATGTCATGTACTGTGAGGAAAAAATTTCGAGCACGGATTTTCGTGAGGGTCACCCTCAATGAAACCCGTATTCAAAATTTTTTTCCTTACAGCTTATGGCATGAGGAGTAAAATGAGTTCTATATCGAAGATGTACCTCAAAAAATTTGTTTTTTAAAATGGGGGGGGGGGACAAAACGAAATATTTTTTGTAGATTTTCTCAAATACACATATACGAATTCACATTCATTAAACACCTAGTGGATGAGCGCAGATTAAAAATAGATTACCTTTTCTATCAGTGTATTGTATAATCGTCAGTAGTGTCAGGATCGAGGTCAATATAGTAGTGTCAGTATACACATGTACGACTTTGATAGATTGGATCGTAGCTCAATCGAGTTATTCAATACAAGCAATATCGGAAATTACAGAATTTCATTTCAATTTTTATACTCAAGTATTCCGTTAATCGAATCACTGTACCCTGCACATCCAAATCCTCAAACACACCTCAGGGAAACGATACGCAATATCTAGAAAAGTCGTGTGGGTTTGAGACGTAATTTATATGAGAGTTAATGGTAAAAGGGGTAGGTTAATGTCACGTTACGTCGAAACTTTACATTTTGAATCTATACTTAACTCCCGGAGTCTTATTTTGCACTATGAGGGAAAGGAAGTTTCACATTTTGGTGGGCACCGCAGGTAATGTATGACAGTCAATCCCGAAAGCGCAATTACTATACTTATCGGAGACCGAAATCTGACTCCGTGCAGCTGTGGCTGACTGGTACATGTGTTAATTTTATTTCAAAGTATCGCCAATAAACAAATATCCATTTTTTTTTTCTTAATTTTGCGAAAAATAAAACAGAACAAATAATAAAAATGAATACTCACTCGGTCAATCGGTTAGATTTGTCAGATTTTGAAAACCACCACTTTTACACCTTACAACTCTTGCACACATTTTTAATGGTAGTTATTTCAATCGTTTGATCTCTATGTCATCCTTATTATCCACGAAATGACCACATATTCGTATAGGACGAAAAAAATGTTGTCATCTCCTATTTGTTTTCCTTACATTGCATTCGAATTTAAAGTGCAGCAGGAAATACAACCACTCCCAAAGTATGCGATGTACAACGACACTCTTTTGCACACCGACATCGCATGCACCAGAGAGAGAGAGTACAAAGATAATAAAACGGTGTATCGAAGGAGAGCTCGTGTCGTAAAATGGAAATGAAATGACCCCATGGAAGTACACTGCTGCAGCGAACCACAAAAGCACATGTAAAAAAGTAAGGGGAGAATCATACCGCCGGCGCACTTCCGATCAAATGTATATATGCTCCGCCAACAGGGGCGCCTATGAAGTAGAGAGACAGAGATATGGAGGCTGCACTCGCGTATAAAGCGATAACACGATCAGAGCGGCTTTTATAAGTTTACCATGTATAAATATATACACACACAAGTGAAGGCGCGTGCCTCCTCGTACATATATAGGTGCATAAGTACCGGGTGCCACATAGGCGCCGTCGCCTGTGTCCCAACGTTGTACAACCCATTGACTGTCAGTATGTATGTATACAAGCGAGTAAATATACATGCAGAATAATCTGCATTGGGGTACATATAGAGGCATGCCGATAAGCAGGTGGAGGAGGAGAATGAGACGCAAATAGTGCATGGCACAACAAGTATACCAGCAAGAGCATGTACATATAGCAAGACCGGCATAAGACGCGCATGTATATTATGTACTCTATGAAAAATGTTAATTACGTTGTCAATGAAGTATATATCCATGGACTTCTCGCGCGTGGGGTGGAAAAAAAAAAAGGAGTACGTATCACTAACTTTCCGTTTTTCGATAAGCCGCAGAAAAGAGAGGCCCACATCGTTGCGCAAATTTAATAAATACATTTCAAGTGATTGTGATTTACGAGGCTCGAGCCATCTATGTATTTACGCAGCACCGGTGCGTGCATTGTAAAAGCGGACGAAGGAGAGCCAAGCAAATTACACGAGCGCTTAAACCTCTGAAGTGCGTTTGCAATCGAGTGCAATGCGCGTGTATCACAAAAAAAACACACGGATGATTTATCGGCGCCAAGCGTCCGCGGGACGGGGAGATCTCGAAGAAACCCCTCGTGTTTTCACGCCTCGAGTGGGGGGAAAAACAAAATAAAAAAAAATGGCAAAGATTTATCGACCGAGAGGGCCAGACGTGGTATTTGGCGTATATTGTACACGCGCACGGTTGTTGAGAAACTTGAAATTTACTTTCCGAATCGGCGCTTGTTTTTCCGCGGATGGAAAGTACTACACACACACACGCGCGCGAGCATTACGCAACGAGCCATATAACATATTGTAAATCAAAACGCAATTAGGCATTAGCGAGAGAGTCGACATGTGTAAATAATTTACGATAAAGAGACGTCATAATCGAAGTCGAATATTATGATTATTGCACAGAGACAAGTCCGAGCGGGAGAAAATTTAGGATCGATTAAAATGCCATCTGGATAATCCGTACGCGAATTTTATGGGTATGCTCGAGTACGGTTGTTGTGTATGAACAAGCTCGGGTGTTTGCTTATCCGAGTTGTTAGCGTCGAAAAACTGTACAATTTATAAACGTAATATGTTGCACGGTATCCGCGTTCGAAAGCGCTTTCGGCGCTTATATTAATAAAAGCTTTTACTCGCGCGAGTGGTCGTGCAAAACATTTTGGGCTGTATATCCAGATACGAGCGCGCGCGGTCGTAGATTAAAACGATGGAAAAAAAAAATGTAATGCGCCTAAAGCAGCGGTGGTGAGCAAACACACGTGCGCCGACGATATTATTGTTCCCACGGCCTTTCGGGAAACCTCGGCTCCGCACAACAACAAATCAAAGCTGCAGGCGAGCGGTGCTTGGGTTGTACCAAACACTTATATACCTCGTTGTAAGTTAATATCATTCACTCCCACTGCGGCACATACTAAGCTGCTTATCCAAAGTAATCGCTATAAGCACTCTTTCCACCACGTGATGTCAGAAAGCGTTTCGTTCATCTAAACTTCGATTGCCTACAGCTCCTCCGAAGCATCAAATTTGTGAACTAGATACCATAGTATAGGAATACGCACGCATCGGGCAAACACATAGCTGACGATTTGAAATGTAGGTGACCCATAATCCGCGGCGGTGATGCTATTAAGTGGTTGTACTGGCATCGCTGATCGACGAGCGGTAACGATTCACCATCAATCAGCAGCAGGTTATAATCAAATCCTCCCATCTATCATCGTCGTCGCCAAGTATTAAAGTATACGTAAACAGGGGGCAGCAATAGCGACAGGGATTCTCGACGATGGGAACAAAAATACGGTTGGGGAGAGTACAGCAACAGTGGAACACACACCTGAACACAGGGGGTGGGGGGGGGAGGAAAGCGAAATCCCATTGTTACTACGGAGGATCCTCTAGAAAATCCTCGTCCCGAAATACAGAGATGCCTATACATACAACACAAAAAACGGCACAGAAGAGAGGGAGCCCTTGTACGGTACGCAGCAGAGGACCTCTCGAGCTTTTTTTCGAGTTTTTTGAAAGGGAATAGGTGTAGTACTCTATAGATACGTTCAGAACAAGTGGAACAAACGTTCAGAACGTATGGATCGTGTGTACGCCTGC